AAACAATATGTCCTCCAGAAAATATATTTTTTCTTAAAATTTGCAGTAAAGTTTATTTACTGTAAAAACCTATTTTTACTTAAGAGAAGGAGGAAACCATGAGGCCTAAACTGACAAAGTGGCAATCATCGTAAAACATGTCTAAATAGTTTAAGAGTAATCATTCCTTATTCTTAAATTTTCACAATCACTTAAAAGACACTTCATCATATGCAAATCCTCTTTACAATAATTACAGAGTAATTTTGTAGTCCGTAGGCGCCGCTGAGTCTTAATTATCAAATAATGGGCGCTTAAACCTCAAAAATTATACACTTTATTACACCACTCCTAAGGTTGTATATTGCATCACATCATTTTCCCGCGGATATACTAAATAATGAATGAGTGACAAAAAAATTGAGCGTACCTATAATAGTAGGTATTATATTTTTTCATTCACCGGATATTAGTAAAACAATAACTAAAATAAATCATACACAATTTAATTATCCGAAAAAATAAATAAGTTTCCTCTGTTATATAAGTACTACCAATTTGATACGGCAATTTTTATTATGTATTAAACAGGAAATTAAGTATAAGTATAATGTGGTGTGCTTAAAAAGGATATTATCGCCTTCAAAAAACCTTCGTATCAAATCGTAGTTGGCTATAAAGTTTTGAAAATATTAAATAGTTTATTTTGCTCCAACGAAAGAAAATTTTCTGTAAAATATGTAACGCTATCAAACCCTCGTCCCAGCTCTTTTGTCAGCACCAGCTGTCCCTAGTGCTAATAATTAATACGAGAAAATGTATCTTTTTAGTGAGCACGTAACACTCGAAATAAGCGTAGGTACTCTCGAAATCCCTCTCCTGACAACAAGGAAATAAAGTCAGTTACAAATGGAATCCGCCAGAGACCGTGTCTGTTTTTAATTGACAATTGACGTTGTGCTACTCTCTGGGGCCTAGAAAGATGACATTATGTTATCTATATTTCAGCAACCATTCTTTTAAATTTGACCCAAGCTAATCGTCTATGCCAGCCACACTGGCACCGCATCTCCGTCGTGCTGGAACCCTCCCATCGATCGCCCGGAGAATGAATTAGTACAACTTATGTATCAAATAGTTTGCCATTTGTTGAATACAACTGATAGGAATGTTTGGTTACTCCCAAACGGAAATAGCAAGCGCTATGGAAAATGTATATATTGTAAGCTAAATGATTGATAACTAACATACATTAACACTTTCTATAAACGTATCCTTCAAGAATTTTAAAGTTTCAAACAGTAAACTTTGGAAAACTAATATCTTCCATTTTGCGTAAAAAACTGGTAAATACATTCGTATAATTCCCAGTGGCGACTCGTGGCTTTTTGAGATGGGTGAGCAAAATATTTTTTCTCTCATGTAACTTAATATCATATAGGAATAGTTGCACTCTACTGGCCTACTAATTTATTTTCTATATCAAAATTTTTTAAATTTTCAGTTAACAAATGATCCGCAGCTTTTTTCCCCTTGATTACATAAAAAAATCCCATAAATCTTTCAACTACTTTACCACAATGAACATATCTAAAAACTACTAATAACTGAAGAATTTCTGAATTAAGAAATGCGAAAAATATTACTGGACTACCAAGTAAACGGGTCAAAAGTTGCGACGAATTAGAAATATATTCGATTAATATATTCCCCTTAATTAAGTATCTAGATACTCGTGTTGAGAATTTACATGATTTAATTATTATTGCTTCAATAGATTCTTTAAAATTTCCCGAATATACAAACAAATTTCCCGAAAAATCATTTGAATGTTTATTGCAAATGTATCCAAACGTTTTTGAAATTGATCGGTTGAAAAACGAACATAATATTTTGTACAGATACAAACAGTTTCGTAATTTAGAAGTTCAAAAAACGATAGAAATATTAGACAAGGAATTTAAAACGGTATTTTAATTTGTTTTGGCCAGTTTTAACAATTTCTGCAACAAGTGTCTCGGTAGAAAGAAACTTTTTGAGTCTTAAGCGCATAAGACAAAGTCTTAGTGCCGATCCTCAATTTTATGATAAGAAAATTTGCAAATTTAAAAGACCGACGAATAAACTTGTTTTATAAAAACATTTACTATGTTTTTAAAATATTTTGTTAAAAGTGGAGGGAAACGAAAAGCTAGCGGCATTGTTTTCTATGTACATAGATAAGTTGATTTTTATTTTTTCATATTTTTTAATATTCATAAACCAATTTTGTGAATTGTTAGGTATTATATCACTTTGTTTTTTTTTGTTACTTAATTTTATTGTAAATACCTACAATTTTTAAAGTTCCGATATTATTATTAATAATATATTTTTTTAATTTACGGTTATAGTAGGGCTATTGGCGAAGATTTCCATAATAAAAAATGACGTGGAAATTTATCCCTATCTATTTATTATTTGAATGCGGAATCTGTGGTAGTTCCATGTACACATAATATATACATATACTCTCTGAATAATATTATAAATGTTTCTGTTACGTGGTCTCAAGAATAGTCCTTGATCAAAAATAATATAGGCTCGTATGCAAACAAGCGACCATTCCCTGAACTCGCTTTATGTAATGCAATAAAAAGTAAACACAGAGATTTATCTCGGTTTAAGATTCCACAGAAATGCACCTTTTATAACAGCACTAAACTTGGCACCAGCCGCCGTCCAGACCTTTTCGAAAACGTCTACAACCGAAGCAGAAACCACTTCCTTGTGTAAATATATACACAGGTTTATGCATTTGGTGCAAAGCACGCCAGAAAAAGACCAGGTGTGTCACTTGAAAATTTTACTCGTTTCGATAGTTGTGACATACGCGGTGAGTTTTCTGTACACCGTTTTAACCGCGAGCAGATGTTCTTTTGATGTGAAACATGATACTGACAATCATTGTTCATTTTTCTATCGATTCCTTAGGTCACACAAGACTTTTTTTATTTTTTTTACACATTTTGCAATATAATTATTTCCTAATCCATCTCTTATAATTTTATCTAAAATATTTGCCTAAAATGTATTTTTCCATTTTTGGATCGCTTTGTGCAGAACAAAGGTAGAAAATCTTTTATTTTAAATTAACTCAAATCCAAATATTTGCACTGTACTGTAGGTCTACTTTTAAAATTCTACTATACGCCTTTCTTGGCACTGCCTGTTTAGCAACATAATAAAACACGACACAATTAGCTAGTACACATGGTGTTAATGATAAGTTTTGCCGAACTTTAATGGCATATTCTACCGATGAAAATAACCAACTTTTCCCCTATAAAAATTTTTAATAGAACGCTTCCCTAAGGATATACAGGGTGTTAAAAGTTTCAAATATTTATATTATTTTTCCTGTAGTAGGTACTATTTTTTCATGGATAAATTATTCCAAAATACACTCCCGTGAGAGAGTAGGGGACCTTTTTTGAAAAAAAAAAAATATCGTACGCCACTGATTTTTTAAATAATTTTAAATGTTTTTAAAATGTACAATCAATTTATGGCAATAAAGTATTCTTGTAAAGTATTCGTAAAAGTTACTGGTCTTTAGATAATTCGGAAATCAAATAAGAAGATACTTAAGTACCTACGATGATTTTACCATTCTTTGTTATATTAAAAAAGTAATCCAAGGGATTCAGGTCGGGGGAACGAGCCGGCCAAGCAATGGGTCCTCCTCTACCAATCCAGTTATTAGGATACTGATTATACAGCAACTGTCTAACGGTAAGACTGTAATGAGGTGGCGCTCCAATAATTGACGTAATCTCAATGACACTTGTTCTAGAAGTTGTGGTAATTCTTCTTGTAGGAACCTTTAAATAGCAACGTAGGTACTTAAGTATCTTATTTGATTTCCTAATTATCTAAAGACCAGTAAATTTTACAAGAATACTTTATTGCCACAAACTGATTGTACATTTTATAAACATTTAAAATTAGTTGAAAAACCACTGGCGTACGATTTTTTTCAAAAAAGGTCCCCTACTCCTCCAATAACTACGCCACTGGAATGTATTTTGGAATAAGTTATCCATGAAAAAATAGTCCCTACTAAAAAACTGTCATCCTTTTATCAAATTTTATCACTCAACTTTATAGGGCAAAAGTTGATTGGTTTCAGCAGTAGAATACGCCATTCAAGTTTGGCAAAACTTAACATTAACACCCTGTATACCCGTGTTCCATAATAATGGGCAGTGATTCATATCCAGCAGTTAGATGAGTAAGAGAAGTAAAGTTTTATGAAAAAAACAAACAAAAATATGTTACGCCACTGCTTTTTCTTAAAGTATTTTTGAAATCCTTATTCCTTTCTGAACAAATGTGGTGTCTTGAATTTTTTTCATTTGACGTACGGTTTTCGCATAAAAAAATAAAATTCATTCATTTGCATCTTATTGGACCACTTACGAATAAAAAAAAAGATTTATGAAACTTTGAACAATAATTTACTTAAGATAATAACTTTTAAACGTTGAAATTAAGAAATTACAGTAATCTACATACATTTTGGAATGGCAAAAGAAAATACCCTGGCGTAACATATTTTTCTTCAAAAATATTCAATACAAAAACTGTACAGACGCCACTGGCAAAAATAATAAAATTCTTTGTTCATCAGAAAATGCATCTCGATGAATAGAAGGTGTGTACCAAATTTGAAAAAATATCTAGGGTAGGTAATGCCAAAGTTATCATAAAAAAATGTTTTTTCATAAAGCTTTAGCACCCTGTAGTTCAAAAGTTAAGACTTTTAGGACATATGTTCATATGAAGTTTTTTTTCTTAAAATGGACCCAAGAATAACTTCCTTAAATATTAGCACGTTATTAAGAAACACCCTGTATACATAAAATTTAAGATTAATATCAAGCTCATTGTACTGAATACTGACTTAGGAATATCGTTATTCTGATATTTCCTTTTACCTAGCGCAATACTTTTATTAACTATTAAACGCTTTTTTGCAGGTTATTTTGGAAAATACCTAAACAAGTACAACGGTTCCTACATTCCACCAGGTTGGAGGGAATGGGGTGGTCTAATAATGAATTCCAAGTACTACAATTACTCCATCAATATGAACGGGAAGAAGATCAAACATGGATTCGATTATCATAAGGTAAGTCATTAATTTTATTTCAGAACTCCAGTTCAACTAGTTTCTAAAACTGGACAAGATACATTTATAGCAACGCACGTTATGTTATAAATGTATGGTATAAAAAGACGAAATTTAATGTGTGATTTTTTGAATTTGCAAATATTTTCTACCGTTGAACCAAGACGTTATTCTTCAATCACGTTAATAGAAGCACTCCTATTACACTCCTTGAAATAAAGCAAACTGGTGTAACGTCTCATGAATAGTCACATCATTAGAGGGATTCCAACTCGCTTTCCAATCAAGCGCGATAATCATATCAAATGTATTCAGTCGATTGGAGTTTGGAGTTCCAAGTTGCTATCGAGCATTTATCTGATGATGAGATGTTGTTACCAGATAACCAAATGAAATTGTTCAATTGCAAATCTACACGTAAATGATTTAACATAGTTTTAGCATAAATTGAGAATCAGAGATTATGCGTATAAATGACGTCGACCTAAAAAGTTTTTTTTTTTCATTAATATAAGTTTATACGAAGAAGTCAACTCCAATAGTTTATCACAATGGCACTATTTCGCCTTGTATTCAGAATTCTATTAATTATTAGATATTTGAAGCATATTTTTTTTAATAACACATTTTTTTATAAAATATTGTACCTGAAAAAGCACTCGGATGAAATTTAAATTTTGTATTTTTCATTTTATGAAAAAAAGGCATTGTTGCTAATGCTAATTAAGAAACGTACAATAATTTAACTATTTTCTAACATTTAACATGTATAGGATGTTCCAAGGTCGTCGAATCGATGGTGTTAATAACAAAAAAAAATTGAGGAGAATTAATACTACGGAGAATGAATCTGCTTGGTTAAAAAATAATCTGTAAAGCATATTTATTTCTAAAACAAAAGTAGGTCTTGACACGAATAAAAAAATTATTGTTTGTGTTGGTAAAGACCTTTTTTCGTATTATGTATCAACAAATTTCATTAAAAAAAATTGTTCAGAATAAAAAAGTATCCCCATTTTCCAAATCTAAAAGCACTACCTATGTATGAGAAAAGCACTTTATATACAGGTTTTGTTGTTGTTTACCTTTACTTTAAGGCAATTTGAATTTTGATAACGATAATAGAAAGTTTTTTGAAACATTAACTATCTAACGTAACGTATTGTCCTGATTATGTTCCTTTTGAAAATTATAAATAATACTTTAAATGCAGATTCGTTAGTTTCAAAGATTTCATATCATATTTCTAAACTTATGTATTCTAGATTTCACTCTGCTTTTGAATCACCTACACCTCGTACAAATTTACTAATATATGTTATTTAGCTTATTAGTTTTGTCTATTATTGTTTATACTTAAGTTCTTTTATCTGGATTTTACATTTTGATTGCTCTATTTTGAGGAGTACTTATGTTTTTATATTTAATGTTAGTTGTTTTTTCTAGTTTAATTAAGGTTTTCTGTTTTACCTTGTCCTGTAATTGGGACTTTGTTCCATTGTATAATTGTGCAATTGTGAAGAATTGCCTACTTTCTGGTTAGACAAATCTAAATTATAAGTCATTCCCTTGACTGATCTTTTTAGCGCAAGGGGTTACATATTTAATATTTTTTCTTTGCAGTGTTGCAGAAAACTCAATAAAATAAAAAGTAACACACTTTATATTGATTACTGTATCATGGCTGAATTTTTTTTGTCTTTGTCGACAGTTGTAGCTACTAGAAACCAAAAATATGGAATAAGGTAACATTAAGTAATAACTACAAATAATGTAAAGAATTGTCTCACTAGTGCTATTTAGATTATTACTTATTTCTGTTCATTAATAATAATTATTATTACTGACTAGCTTATTCATGGAGTTTTTTCCTTAGCGTATTTAAATGTTTGGTATTAAAGTACCTGTATGTATACGGAATGTCCTGAATTGCATGCATTCAACTTTACCAGATGATAAAAGTTCTCAAAATAAGAAAAAAAAATTTAATCGTTTTACCTTTAATTTCGCGAACATAGTTAAAGACTACTGCTCTATGTTTTTTAAATTTACTAAAGATATATTTGCGGAAAATTATGTATTTGTTTCAGCAAAACGAAAGGCAAAAGATGTACAACTTAAAACAGCATGTGCTCGCAAAATTTCGTATATTTATGTTCTGCTGTATGTACCTAAAGATAAACACGGTTCTGATTGATTTAAATGTCGGTAATCATGTAAATGTCCAACATCATTTGTTTTCAATTTCGGTAAATGTTAATGAAGATTTACCATTTTCGCCAGAAAATTACAACGTAAAGACAACCCGAAACAACGCACGTAGCGTTCTTATTATGGAAAATCTGGAAATATTTTTGCCCCGTTTAATAATTTAATGGCGTAAATATTAGGTGGCTGTCCAGTAATGATGGAGATTTTTACCCGCCATCCGAGGCTTGGGTCTTCATCAGCTGGAGGCGGTGTAATTTTTGAAAATAATACCATGGGCAATTACGTATGCATTACCTCATTCAAAATTTAAGGGACAGGCATCAGGTACAGTTTATGTGCACGGTGGACCTGAAATTAATTAAAGTATCTAGTTGCCTATGCATGCTCCCTTGCGCTATTATTTTTTTTGGGGCGCGGGGTAATTCGAGGGAAAGGGGGAAAACGCGCGCTAGAAATTGTTTTTAAACAGTGGTAGAGGCGTACTTTTCTTGAAAATTTTGTATAGTTTTTCATAAATATTTTTATAGTTTTGTTGTATGCCCTCAAATGTTTCTACGCATTATATTTTCTGTTATAATTGTAAGAAATCTTTTACTTTTTTTAATGAGATTTAGACCAGGATTTTTTCATAATTCAGCTTTCACAGCAAAAAAAGAATTGATAATTTTTTTGTTTAAAAGTTGGTGGAGTTCTGTCCAACTTTAAATTAACCGAAAAAATACTTTTAAACGCTTTTTCTTTACTAAATTCGGCAAAATTGTCTTGAATATGTAAAAACACAGCGAAAATTTAAATTCATATTTTCTAAAATACAAAATTTACTGGTAATTTTACAAAATTTTCATTTGTATAATAAGTAGTATTAAACAGTTTTCAACAAAAAAATCTTGTTAAAGAAATATGACAAAAGAATATAAATAAATATATTTAAATTAAAATCAACAAAAATAATGAATTGTAGGGGATTTGAGACTATCTTTCCTAACAACCTGATTTATTTTATATCGTACCATCATAATAAGGTTAATATGTAATATTTATGAGATAACATTTAGGTATGTTTCTTTATATCACATTCAAAAAGGTTTGAAGATATCTCCATTCATAAACAAGAAAAATAATATCTAATATGGCCGATCTATAATGATGTATCTCTTATGAAGGAAAATTCAAGATAATGAACAGGAATATTATCGGTACCCTGAAAAATTACTGCAGATACTAAAAAGGACTGAAATTTTATTCATAAATATTCATTACTTAAAATATAATGAAAATAAACAGTAGATATTAAAGCATATTTCATTTTTGCAAATTTTCATATTAATATTACACCAACTACGTAATTGTCCTTATAAATTTCCAAGGAAAGAAATTGTTTTCTGTAAATTAAGTAAAAAATTTATAGAATATGGAAATTTTTCTTTGAAATTAGTTTAGTGTATTATTAGTGTTACATTCTACATTTATCGAAAATTAAAAAGTTATGCAAATCTCATGAAGACTAGATACATTATAAAGAATTTCTAAAATACTCAGTGGCGTAGTGGTCCTATGTTTATTTAAGGGCGTCTTAAAATTTAATTGCCATACTTCTACTGTGTGTTCGTTGGTCAAAATTAACACAAAAACCAAATAAATCAATATCTTTCAAAAAAGTTGATTATCATTGGCAAATTTGGTATATTATTGGAATATTCATAGTTTATACTTATTCAAAGTTACAAAAAAATAGGTGAATTTCGAATTTTTTTTGTCTCTTGAAAGAAGATATTTAGGACCTATTATAAAAAATAATTTTATTGGTTAATAAAAAAAAATTGATAAGGGACACTGTTCTTCGGAAAAATTTAAAAATCTATCATCATGTCAGTTCAAGATTAACACATTAAAGAAGTCTGTGATGTTTATCTTCAGAGATAAATTAATGTTTCTTAAACACAACCGACAAATGTTTATGGTCTTTAACGTTTTATTTTCGGTACCCAAATAGAAGGCAGAATATTTATCTTATTTTTATTCTATACATACCTATTTAAAATGCAAGTCATTCTATTGAATACATAACCTATTTTTTAATGTCTTTCTTTCAATCGCTACCACCTTTTCATATTATAGGGCAGAACAACATTTTTATCAAATACGACGCTAACGAAGATAAAAAGAACTATCAAGAGATCATCTTTAAGCCATTATGTTTGTGTAAAGATTAGAATAGTCATAGTTTATCCAACTTCTCGTGTTAATTTTGACCAAGTAACACCTTACGCAGGTTGACTAGACAGTCAATTAAAAGACACCCTGTATGTAAAAGTTACACGAAAGTGATTAAATAATGGAATCTTGTAATAACTTTTAATATTATTCCCTCTAAAACAAACCTCGAATACTAAATTCATCACGGCCAGATGGGAAACTGACAGAATAAGTAATTGATTCTCTAACGCCAGTTCTATCGTATGCGCAGCGAGTAGAATGCACTTATCTGGATGCATGACACATCGGAGGGATCACAGACAATAAACAATTTTATGTCTCCTCATCGATAACAGTAACAACGATTACTAAGCTAGTGAAGTAGCCGACACAATGAAAAACCCATAAAAGTGTCTTAATAGTTAAGGCGTCGCATGAGTTAATTGCCGGCCAAGTAACTGGAAACGATATTTACGAGTTATTAGCTACGATCCCAATACAGTTTAATTGCTGTTGCTGATGCTGTTAAGATATAGATCGCAAGAGCCGCCTGTTTTCTTCAAGTGATTCCGTAAACAATTGTAGTGTTACTG